GAACCTCCATACTGTTTTCCACAGTGGCTGCACCAGTCTGCAGTCTCACCAGCAGTGCGCGAAGGTTCCTTTTTTTCCACATTCTCGCCAGCACTTGTCTTTTGTTGATTTGTTGATGATAGCCATTCTGACAGGTATGAGATATCTATTTTTTTTTTTTTTTTTTTTAATATATCTTACTGATTTTTTACAGAGAGGAAGGAAGAGGGATAGAGAGTTACAAACATCGATCAGCTGCCTCCTGCGCACCCCCAACTGGGGATGTGCCCGCAACCAAGGTACATGCCCTTGACCAGAATCAAACCCGGGACCCTTCAGTCCCAGGCCGATGCTCTATCCACTGAGCCAAACCAGTCAGGGCAACACTTCTTTTCTTACACTTCTCTTCTTACACTTCTCGAACCATCCCTTCTGGCCTTACAGGGATTTTTCCTGAATCACTGCCCCAAAATGCGGTCACTGCCTAACTGCTCCCCCTTGATCCAAACCAACACCAGCTCTGCCACCTCTTCAAGTGCCTGGGACGGCTGTTGTGTGAGCACGTTCACACCTTTACAACATCGGCACTCCCCCGGGCCTCTTCATGTTTTAAAACTGTGCTGATCGCCAGCAACAAAAGCATTCTCTCCTGTGCTAGCCGGGGCCGGACGCGTCTTGTCTGCTGCGGTATCAGCCTGGAAGGGTTATCAGGCCAAACACGGAAGATGTGGCTGACAACCGAGACATTTTTTTTCTGTGAACAACTTGGTCGAGAACCGAATCGTTCGAGATGGGAGACGTTCGAGAAGCGAGGCTGGACTGTCTCTGTTTTAGCATCTTTGTTCTGTTGTGGAAAAACACACCTTTAGTCCGAGCTTACATTGAAGTGACGAAGTCCCATGTTTTCCTTGTTCACCCATAAGGATCAAGGCCTCGTCATCAAGACGACAGCCCACGATGAAGGACCCTCAGCATATGAATCCTCACCCTGACTCTCTGCCCGAGTGAGTCAATGTCTCCGAAATCCTTCCATGGTCTACAGGGCGGGCAAACGTAGGGTGGCAGCTGTGGGTACTGCAAACAGAGTTTATTCTTGTATTCTTACATATTCATTACTGTATTCTTTCCCTTCAAACAACGGTAAACCGACTTTTGCCCCGCTCTGTATATACAATGACTTAATGTAATAAAAATAAAATTCCGCCGAAACCGGTTTGGCTCAGTGGATAGAGCGTCAGCCTGTGGACTGAAGGATCCCAGGTTTGATTCCAGTCAAGGGCATGTACCTGGGTTGCGGGCACATCCCCAGTGGGAGATGTGCAGGAGGCAGCTGATCGATGTTTCTCTCTCATCGATGTTTCTAACTCTCTATCTCTCTCCCTTCCTCTCTGTAAAAAATCAATAAAATATATTTAAAAAAAATAAAAAAAATTCCGTGAATACAATCATGAATGAAACACTCTAATTTGGAAAAATACTGTATGTTTTTACAGTTCAAAAGGTTCATACCTTTCAAGGAGAGAATTAAAAGTGTAAAACACTCCCGGCCAGTGTGGCCCAGTGGTTGAGCATCGACCTATGAACCAGGAGATCACGGTTCGATTCCAGGTCAAGGGCACATTCCTGGGTTGGGGGCTCCATCTCTAGTGTGGGGCGTGCAGGAGGCAGCCGATCCATGGTTCTCTCTCATCATTGATGTTTCTCTCTCTCTCTCCCCGCTCCCTTCCTCTCTGAAATCAATAAAAATATATTTAAAAAGGGTAAAATACGATGTGTTATATTTGGGGACAGTGAGCCAGGCGAGGGCGGTTGGAGAACCTCACTTCTGTTGGAGCCGGTGACCCCAGCAGGCAGCTCAGGGCCCTGGGCCCCAGGTTTCTAACTCGCTTGGCTCCCGGGGCTGCAGGAAGTTACAGGAGAAACGAGGTGTGGCCTCATTTACTTGTTTGAGCTCCACATGGAAGCAACTGAAAAGCAGGATTTCTGCTCAGGACTCACAGGCAGAACAATGAAAGCCCAAGCCGGACAAGGAGAGGCGTGCTTGCGACGTCGCCCGGGA